CTTAATTATCTCCCTTCTTTCCCAGCTCAGAACAATCCAGTGACACTGGCAATCCTTTGTTTCCTCAAACCTACCAGAATCCCCAGCAGTTAGACACTATGTACGGTGATGCCCTCTGGTCACCAGCCTAATGCCTAAACTGGGTTCCACCTTAAACATCTGGTACTCAGAGAAGCCCTCCCTGACCATCCATCCTAGTGAGAGTGGGCTGCACTGTAAAGGGTGATGTGGTGAAGCCTCGAGATAATGATAAATGATGGAGAAGCCTGGGTTCCAATCAGTCATCTGACAAGATGGAGTTATGCTCCAACACAAATACACAGCTGCGTGGGTCGATAAAAGTTCACAAGCAGCATGATATAACTAGCAATAATGCATCCGCATTGGCTAACTGACAATATTACCCAGGGCTTTCAGAAGTGATCCCTCCTCTGCCAAGGTATAATGCATTCCTGTTAACAGGGAGTTCTATTAAGGGCAACTCCCAACATGGCACAATTCTCTTCACTTCTGCTTTTATCCCTGGCTGTCAAACAGCATTTTGCAGAGAACTTTGGAAGTATGATAACGGTCTGAGGCACACTGTGACATACATTAATAGTATACTGAGCCCTTTTTCAAAGATCTTTTTATTTGTAGCTAATGTTTATTTTCTGTTAATGTTTGTTTCCTCCACTTAAGGACTGTGCCTACCCCATCGCCCGCTATATGGCCAGTGCCTGCCAGTTCCCAGCTTACAGAAGGAGTATGTGCAATAACCACTGGATAATAATAATAACAGTAATAATAATCACTGGATCAATGAATTAAGAAGTAAGGCTGTGTCCATGTGAAACAAATATGGTGTATAGAAGTTAAGTTTACTTAATACATGTAAACTCTACAAAATAGTGCTGGGCACCTAGTAAGCACCCACTCAATGCTGTCATCATGTGCTTAGCTAGGGACAAAAATCTCCCAAGTAGGATAACAGAAGAAAGGCTGTGAGTGACTGACAAATGACCACTGTGTGGTTAACCCCATCAGGGCAGAGCACAGCAGAGTAAAGGAACCACAGTAATCCATCACAACAGCGGTTGCTGAGATAATTCATTTTAACATGTGAATATACAAATTTAACAGCCCAAGATCTTTTCACATATTCACGGTTGAGTTCAGCACTCTTAAAATAAAACCGCTCACAATAATAATGTCTTGTACACACAAGCACTTCTGTGGGATAGAGCAAAGAGAGAGAGATCCATGCTCCATTCTCCCAGCGGATGGAAAGAAAGCTGGCACCCTTAAATATTTTAAGGAAAAATCACACATTTTTTTCATAGACTCACAAACATGAAACAGACAATGAAAGTACAAATACTTATATTTCAAGTCACCAACATCCCACAAGCTGCTTTAAAATTAACAAAAAGAAGTAAAGGCTGCAAAAGATTTGAAGTCCCTCTGCCTCCGTTCATCCCAGAACAGACAGCCGTATTTCCTAAAGAATTCACTGACGCAAGTGATTCGAGGAAGGAACATCTAAGTGGAAAAAGTTCTTTACGCCTACCAATCCAAGCTGTTTTGGAAATGAGTGTCTTTCATTATTTTTATTTATTAGGCTCTCACACTTTCCTTTAACTATCATGCCATTCTTACTGTTTTCTCAAAGAGTCCATTTTCTAAGAGTCTTCGATGCAAGCAAACACATTTTAGCCATCTGTATACTTTTTAGGAAATTCCCTACCTATTATCAATAAAGAGAGATTCCTATAAAATCAAAGAATTCTCCCACTGTCAGAAGCTAATGTATATAACAATCAGACACAACTCCACCTGAGGCTTTAAGTAACAATTTTAAAATACATTACCAGTGAAGGAAGGAGCAAGACGGCAGAGGAGTAGGAGACCTGGATTTGTCTGGTCCCAGGAATTCAGCTAGATAGGGATCAAACCATTCTGAACACCCACGAACTCAACAGGAGATCGAAGAAAAGAATAGCAACAACTCTCTGAACAGAAAAGCGACCACTTTCTGGAGGGCAGGACATACAGAGAAGTGAATCTGAGGCGACATTCGGGAGGATAAGATGCCGGGGGAGGGGGCCTCTGTCGGCCGCTTCTGGCAAGTGATAGAGCCTCGAAGCACAAAATCGGAACTTTTAGAAGTTGGCTCCACTGAGGGACGTCGCTCCAGTGGCTAAGCAGGGAGTGGGACCCTCGGTGGGACAGTGTGGTCTCAGGACCCTCGGGGTCACAGAAAGACTGGGGGTGCCTGAGTGTGGCAGAGCTCCCAGGTATCAGAGCTGGGAAGCCGGAAGCAGAGACGGAGCCGAGGCGCGAGCTCTCAGCTCAGGGTTGCCATAAACCGTGATCCGTGGCACAGTCGGGCCACTGCTCCTCCAGCAGGGACCCAACAAGCAGCAGATCCAGAGAGACTCCCCTTCCTCCTCCGGGAGGAGCGGCGTGGGAGCGCACCACAGGGATCTGCTGGGTTTGGAGACTCCACACCAAGTCGGGTGCCAGAGATAGAAATGCTCGGTCACAGGCTGGGTGAGCACGGAGTGCAGCCGGAGACCGGGGAGACAGGAGTGATTGACTGCTTTTCTCTGAGGGTGCACTGAGGAGTGGGGCCCCGAGTTCTCGACTCCTCCATGGCGGAGATCGGGAGGCCGCCATTCTCACTCTCCTCCAAAGCTGTACCGAAAGCTTGCAGGGAACAAAAGCTCCCGAGAGCAAACCCGAGCAGATTACTTAGCCCGGACCAGCAAGGGCGGGGCAATTCCGCCTCCGGCAAAGGAATTTGGGAACCACGGCAACAGGCCCCTCCCCCAGAAGAGCAGCAAGAACAGCCAGCCAAAACCAAGTTTACTGATCAATGAGAACAGCAAAACTCCAGCACTAGGGGAATACTGCACATAGAATCCATGGCTTTTTTTCCCCATGATTCTTTAGTCTTTCAAAGTTAATTTTTTTAACTGTCTTTTTTTTTTCATTTTTGAATTTTTCTTTTTCCCTTTTTCAACCAACATCTTATCAATCCCTTTTTTAAAAAACTAATGGTGTTGGGAAAACTGGACAGCCACATGCCAAACAATGAAACTGCACCATTTCCTTACAACACACACAAAAATAGACTCAAAATGGATGAAAGACCTAAATGTGAGGCAGGAGTCCATCAAAATCCTAAAAGAGAACACACGCAGCAACTTCTTCAACCTCAGCTGCAGCAACTTCTTCCTAGAAACATCGCTAAAGGCAAGGAAAGCAAGGGCAAAAATGAACTCTTGGGACTTCATCAAGATAAAAAGCTTTTGCACAGCAAAAGAAACGGTCAACAAAACCAAAAGACAACCAAGAGAATGGGAGAAGATATCTGCAAATGACATGTCAAACGCTAGTATCCAAAATCTATAAAGAACTTCTTGAACTCAACACCCAAAGAACAAATGATCCAATCAAGAAATGGGCAGAAGACACGAACAGACATTTTTCCAAAGAAGACATCCAAATGGCCAACAGACACATGAAAAAGTGCTCAACATCGCTCAGCATCAGGGAAATCCAAATCAAAACCTCAATGAGATACCACCTCACACCAGTCAGAATGGCTAAAATTAACAAGTCAGGAAATGACAGATGTTGGCAGGGATGTGGAGAAAGGGGAACCCTCCTACACTGTTGGTGGGAATGCAAGCTGGTGCAACCACTCTGGAAAACAGTAGGGAGGTTCCTCAAACAGTTGAAAATAGAGCTACCATACGATCCAGCAATTGCACTACTGGGTATTTACCACAAAGATACAAATGTAGGGATCCGAAGGAGTATGTGCACCCCGATGTTTATAGCAGCAATGTCCACAATAGCCAAACTGTGGAAAGAGCCAAGCTGTCCATCAACAGATGAACAGATAAAGAAGATGTGGTATATATGCACAATGGAATATTATGCAGCCATCAAAAGGAATGAGATCTTGCCATTTGCAACGATGTGGATGGAACTGGAGGGTGTTATGCTGAGCGAAATAAGTCAATCAGAGAAAGACATATATCATATGACCTCACTGATATGAGGAATTTTCAATCTCAGGAAACAAACTGAGGGTTGCAGGAGTGGTGGGGGGTCGGAAGGAGGGGGTGGCTGGGTGATAGACATTGGGGAGGGTATGTGCTATGGTGAGCCCTGTGAATTGTGCAATACTATTGAATCACAGATCTGTACCTCTGAAACAAATAATGCAATATATGTTAAGAAAAAAAAAGAAGAAGATAGCAGGAGGGGAAGAATGAAGGGGGGGAATCGGAGGGGGAGATGAACCATGAGAGATGATGGACTCTGAAAAACAAACTGAGGGTTCTAGAGGGGAGGGGGTTGGGGGGATGGGTTAGCCTGGTGATGGGTATTAAAGAGGGCACATTCTGCGTGGAGCACTGGGTGTTATGCACAAACAATGAATCATGGAACACTACATCAAAAGCTAATGATGTAATTAATGGTTAATAACATAACATAATAATAAAAAATAAATAAAAGATAAATACATAAAAAAATAAATAAATAAAATACATTACTAGTTATTAATACTGCAGAGGTAAAAAGAGACCCTCCACTGTGTATACACGCCACATGAAGGTACTCTGAGAGAAATGGGCATCTACAGTCTGGTCTAGTCAGCCATTCTGCTTCACAGAAGGAATATTCAGAAGTCACACCCAGGTGCCTATACCAAGCTTGAATAATTATAATACAAATGCAAAATTATAATACAAAAACAGATCAAGTGTTCGTCAACTGATCTGTTGCTTCTTGCTAAAATAGAAACTGTTATTTTCCATGGGGCCATATTGACATATAACCTCCAGTACATTTGTAATAAACACTTCCATTTTCAATACGAATTCACTTTCCCTAGTTTCTTCTTAAAATTAACTCAAACTTAAGCTTATAGGTTAGTTAATAGGGAAATCCCTTTGGAATAAACAGAGGGGAAATTTATGAATATTCTAAAGAATGATACCTACCTCAGGCCCTGTGATATGCATCAGACCAGAAACAGCAGAGGCAACAGCATCATAACCAGCTCGCTGAGACAGTGGACCTGTCTGACCATACCCTAAAATGGTAAAAATAGATATAGTCAGCATGATGCAGGGAGAGCAAGAGTACAATGACATGTTAAAATCCTTTGTAGTCAGAAATCTTGCAGCAATTTATTACTATGAGATTGATAGTATCCCCTGAAAAGGAAGCAATAAAAATTATTTATGATCTTGTACACCGGAAGACTGCAAACTGGTAACTTGAGGGACAGTTCCCACCTACATGAATAGTCTGTCTGGCCTGAAGAGTGTCCTCAAATGTTTTTATTTAGTTTCCAACATTTTTAAAAAGCAGGAGATAGCACATAAACTGCAAATTTCTGACTTTTCTTGAAAAATCAGAACATAAGTTCAAAACCAGGCACACACAACAATCAAAGTAACAGCTCTTCCCTTTATACAGGTAAATAAATTCTCCAATTTGCCATTCCTCCACGACTCTTACTGCTTTATGCCTGAGCCTGATTCACTCATTTAATGTTACTTCCCAGCTCCATTCATATATATTACTCTTGTTCTATACAAAATATATACAAAGTAAAATGAAATAGTGTCTCTCTGGATTCTGTTTACATATTTCCTCAGATAGATAGATAGATAGATAGATACACATACATATATATAAATAAAAATGATGACTAAAAAAATTTTTTAAAGATTTTATTTATTTATTTATTTGAGAGAGAGAGCATGAGCAGGAGGGGAGGAGCAAGGGGAGAGTAGAAGTAGACTCCCCACTGAGCAGGGAGCCCAATGTGGGACTCGATTCCAGGACCCTGGGATCACCACCCAAACTGAAGGCAGATGCTTAACCAACTCAGCCACCCAGGCACCCCAACTAAAATTTTTGAACATAAATATGATTACATGACGTAACAGTGCTTTTTAAGATTACAAAAAGAAGGTGAAGGTATTACTTTTTTTTCTTTTCCTTTCTTTTTTTTTTTTTTTTTTGCCATCAGCAAAAATCAAGAGAACACAATAGTTTCTCCTGCTCTCCTCAGTCCTGGCACTTACTGTTGATTGATAAAGCTTATTTCAGGTGCTACATGAATCTGTCTCCGTATCTTATGTTACCAACCAGAGAGAGGACACATGAAAAGCCTTCTACAAGCCATCAGCTATTAGCTGAAATTTCCTGCATACCTCATTTTAGAAAAACCAAAAAGGGGTTTCTCAGGGCCTTCGCTTGCTTCTCCAGCCACCTAGAATGCTCTCCCTCCATTTTATTCCATATATCCACACACCTCACGCTCCCTCACATCTTCCAAATCTGCACTCAAACATCTCCTTACCAGAAAGACCTTCCCCAGAAACCTTTTATAAAAGAGCACCCTCGGGCGCCTGGGTGGCTCAGTCGTTAAGCGTCTGCCTTCGGCTCAGGTCATGGTCCCAGAGTCCTGGGATCGAGTCCCACGTCGGGCTCCCTGCTCAGCAGGAGGCCTGCTTCTCCCTCTCCCACTCCCCCTGCTTGTGTTCCCTCTCTCGCTGTGTCTCTCTCTGCCAAATAAATAAAATCTTTAAAAAATAATAAATAAAGAAAAGAGCACTCTCGCTTCTCACTCTTAATCCCCCTTATCTGACTACATTTGTCTTCGTAGCACTTATCACAAGATATATAATATAGCTATGTGTTTACTGATTTATTTTCTGTCTCCTCTGCTACCAAAATGTGTGCTCCAGAACGTCTTTCTATTTGAGTCAATGCTGTAGTCACAGCATCTAGAAAAGTATTCAATAACATTCATTGAATGAATGAATACTTGTCACATAAAATAATTAAAAAATAATAATAATAAAAATATAGGGGCACCTGGGTGGCTCTGTCATTAAGCATCTGCCTTTGTCTCAGGTCATGATGCCAGGGTCCTGGGATTGAGCCCCACATCAGAGTCCCTGCTCTGCAGGAAGCCTCCTCCTCCCTCTCCCACTCCCCTGTTCGTGTTCCCTCTCTCACTGTGTCTCTCTCCGTCAAATAAATAAATGAAATCTTTAAAAAAAAAAAAAACAAATAATCTATAACAACTAAATTAATAAAGAAACTAAGGAAGTTTTTGTTTTGTTTTGTTTTTTTACCAAAATGGCAATACAGGGGGTTCCTGAATTTTCCTCCTCCCAGAGATGCAACAAATGCAACATGGTGTACAGCACCACGTGGAGAAACTCCCTCTTAGATAAATCCAGAACTAGTTGTTTGACTCCTGCACATTGGTGATAGAGAAAATACCCACATCTAAATGGGTGTTGTCCAGGCACAACACCATATAATCAGGAGGGAATGCCCAACTCCCAGCTTCTCCTCAAGGAGTGAAGGGTTTGGACCACATATCTGGTGTCCCAACTTTTAAGGCTCCCACCTGGGGGGCAGGCCCCCAAAGCACCTAGCTCTGAGACCCAGCAGACCTTACATTCACAAGTCCCATCAGACTACAACAAACAGAAAAAGAAGTTGCTGACAGGCACAGGAGCACTAACCACAGCTATCTTCCCAGAGATCAGCACAGAGGGATCAGGCAAAACCATCCATCTCCCAGCCTTTCCCTGAAAAGGGTCTTCCTGCATACTTTACAAGCTGCTACCTAAGGATTTAGACTGTAATTTTGGTATATGTGCTGCCGAAGCCAGCACTGGAATTAACATATATCTAGGTACTAACTGCAATCCCACCTGGAACCCAAAAGAGCTGGTGGGTCACACTCCAACAATACGAGGTCAGCAGTGCCTCTCTGGAAAGAGCTTCTATACATGTCTGGCACACTAGCTTTTGTACCTAGTGCCCAAGGGATGGGCCCCCAGATCACTTGACTCTGACAACCAATGGGTTTTGCATTCACAAGTCCCACGGGGCTATACCAAACAAAGAAGCAGTTTTTAAACAGGCTCAGGAGAAAACTCCATGGCTATACATCCAGGTAGAAGGAGAAGGCAAAAACACCTGTCTCTCACTTTCTCCCCAGAAGGAGTTTGACTGCATATTTTTCCCAGCTGTTCTCTTATATTAGAAGGTCCACCTTCTAATCAATATGCATCTAGGTGCTAACTGCTATCATTCCCATGGGGCCATTGATGGATCTTGGCACACCCTCAACCATACAAAGAAAATCATAAAGATTTCAGGGAACCTGGAGCTCAGGCCAGACTGATTGATGAGATTCATCTCCTAAACAGGACCAGTCTCAAGGCTTGAGAGAGGTGGCTTTTTAGATAATAGACAGAAACCAACACAGAGAATCAAAGAAAATGAAAAGGCAGGAATATGTTCCAAACAAAAGAAAAAGGTAAATCTCCAGAAACTGATCTCATGGAAATGGAAATAAGTTATTTATCTGATAGAGAGTTCAAAATAACAATTACAAAGATACTCACCAAGATCATAGAAGCAATGCATGACCAAAGTGACAATTTCAACAAAGAGAGAGAAAATAGTAAAAGCACCACAGAAGATTTCTAGGAGGGGAGGAGCAAGATGGCAGAGGAGTAAGAGGCCTAAATTTCGTCTCGTCCGAGGAATTCAGCTAGGGAGGGATCAAACCATTCTGAACACCTACGAACTCAACAGGAGATCGAAGAAAAGAATAGCAACAACTCTCTGAACAGAAAAGCGACCACTTTCTGGAAGGTAGGACGTGAGGAGAAGTGAATCTGAGGCGATATTCAGGAGGATAAAGAGCGGGGGAGGGGGCCTCCGTCCACCGCTTCTGGCAAGTGACAGAGCCGCGGAGCACAAAATTAGAACTTTTAGAAGTTGGCTCAGCTGAGGGACGTCGCTCCAGTGCCTAAGCGAGGGGTGGGACCCTCGCTGGAACAGTGTGGTCTCAGGACCCTTGGGGTCACAGGAAGACCAGGGGTGCCTGAGTGCAGAATAGCTCCCAGGTATCGGACCGGGGAAACCGGCTGCACAGACAGAGCCGAAGCACGGGCTCTCAACTTGAGGGGGCCATAGACCGTGATCCCCAGCACAGTTGGGCCACTGCTCCTCCAGCAGGGACCCAAGAAACAGCAGGTCCAGGGAGATTCCCCTTCCTCCCCCAGGAGGAGCGGTGCGGGAGTGCACCGCAGGGATCTGCTGGGTTTGGAGACTCCACACCAAGTTGGATGCCAGAGATAGAAACGCTCGGTCACTCACTGATTTGAGGAATTCTTAATCCCAGGAAACAAACTGAGGGTTGCTGGAGTGGGGGTGGGGTGGGAGGGATGGGGTG